TCTGATGAACATTTTAATGAAGTGTTTAAAATCGGATAGGTACTAAGTTACTAAAAGCAATTCATGGATCTCAAAAATATATATTTGACTTTTTTATTGTGTTACAATCAAAACCACAATTAGAATTACATTTTGATCGTGAAGGAAGCATGTTGTTTTTTTTTCTTCAATTTATATGTTCCGTTTTTATTTTATAAAATTACTCTTTATCCAATAATTCTTTGGTTTCGAGTAATAAGTAATCCACTTTGTATTTTACTTTCAAATCCACCTGTTATTATTATTCACTTTCTTTACAACTTCATATGTATTTTTTTTTATTACAACAAACGCGGTGTCGAATAATAAAAATCATAAAAAATTCTAAACACTACCGGGTTTTCCCGGAATATGAGGTATCTTGTTTTTTATTATAATATTATTATTATATACGGTAGCACTCCAGGAGGTGTAAAATATTATTGGACCGTACGACATTGCACGAGGAAATAATAATAATACTTTCAAGTGTTAACGAAAAATGTGAATAGCAATGCCGATTCCCTGCGGTATGATGTACGGCAGTAGCTGTGGCCAATATATAAGACCAAAGGTATTGATTCAAACATTGGTCACACGTTGTCTGTACCACGTGTGTAGCATAAACTTTCCATAATCTCCGATCTTCGAGGAAAATATTTCATATTATATGTTTACACACACACATTGTGGTGGTCCACCTTAGCCCACCACTTATTCACGTTATTGATCTAAGAAATGCGTGTAACTTTTTTAAGTTACCTGGTAGCACGTTATGTATGCCTATATGTACTTTCGAAAACCAAGTACAGTCCTCTACTCGAATCGGGTCCATATGATTTTGCATGTCATACATTCAATTCTAAGGGTTGGAGTGTATATTATATTAGGCGCGTTCTTGATCGGTCGTTAGGTTCACTAGACAGTGTTGATGCGCTTATTATACATAGATATATTATTCGGTTTGAATAGGGGCGTCCGGCATGTCGAATAAAATACATTTTATTATCCCATTCTGCGGTGCAGATTAAATTGAATACACCAGCGATAGATGACACCTGTTTCGAATTTACCAGAAACCACAATAACAGTTCATTGATCTGGAAATGTGCAGTCGCGACCCCACCTTCACCTTTTGTGGATATTGCAAACGAATTCTGAGATTGGTTGAGAATTGTATTGTCTGAATTATAGACCTCGCAGTGCATAATATAGAATTAAAGAAAAGAAAACTGTTTTCTAATTTATGATGATACAGTTTACAAACATATATATCTAGATAATAAAGGTAAAGTCAACAATGTTGTTTTTTTTATCGACTTAAAATATGAAAAAAAAAATGCATTTAATTGGTAAGAAATTGGACTAATGGAAAATATGTCGGTTAAACGTTTGAGTACAAATTTTTATATTACATGTTTGTGGTGTAAATAATTCTACGGAATTTAATTTGTTGTGAACAAAATCAAACGACAGACGGTATATTTTAATTTCGAACAAAGCGCTTCTATTATCGCCGTTGTCTTATTGTTTGAATAAATTCATTTAATGTAATTTATGTGACGCGAAATAGCCGAATGGTCTGTAATAACCTTTTGAATATCCGAGTAAAATAATAATAATAATAATAATAATACAATGTACACAACAAAACTCACAGAATGGTTGTAATTTCTCATTTTTAACGCGTCGCAAAGCGAAACATATTTTTCAACATCAAAAGCCTCGTCGTCTCTTTTAAATTTCATAGTTTATAAGAAAATAATTCGGAGAAATTCAAATCGCATTTCCTGATTTTCCAAGAACGAAATAATCTTACACATTTAAATACCTTACTTTCTATAGAAAATATATTCGCAATTGGTTTCTACATAATCAGCTTTATCTTTCTTATCAGTTCTATATTTTCTTGTCGTCTAATCAGGCCACTGATAAAAATTAACACGGAGAAGATACTTGTCACATAAAAAACGCGACGGCCGTGGTCTTAGAGCGTCGCGCAGTGTGACCATTTTGGTAAAGCTAAAAGTAGAATATAATTTTTATACGAAAGTCAAAACAATAATAATTGATTCAATGACTAGAAAAATGGCTTAAAGAGGTTGTAAGGTGAGGTGTAATGGCAATTAAAAAATTTTAATTATAACTAATTTAAACAGATATAATATTTTATAAAATCCAAACCGTGATATCAATATTTTAAACTGATAGCACTAAATAGATAAGAAAAGGCAAGGGTACGGTCATTGTATATGCCCTTTCAACATGGCCGTCACGTTTTTGTTTACTTTAAAAGTGACCCTTCTGCTTTTATCTATTCTGTGGTTATAGTTTCAATCATACCGTCTAAATAGAAAAGGCAGTACCCTAAATCCGATTTCTTAACCACATAATATCCCAAATATTCGTTATTTATTCACTAAAGTAGTGGTTATTATCGTCTATGATTTTTTTTCTCATACAGATTAGATAAAAACCACATGGTGCACTTTGCCATTGAATGATAAGTAGATCCTTCCTCAGTTAGGACCTCATACGAGGAATGGAATAATCACTGTAGAAAACATTTTACCACGATATGTTATCAAAGAATTTTCATACTATATTATTATATCGGTGATAAGTATCAATACATTCAGTGATGCTCAGTTCACTTTTTTTTAAGATCATTGCTTGAATAGGAAGCGCAACATCTGGTCTTATCTAATCAGTGGTATTACCTCACTCGGTATTGGTCTAGTAGTTGGTTGGGTTAAGTGTGCCATTCGAAAACTAAACAAACAAACAAGCCCTACCGCCGTTCAAACGATCCCAAAAGCAATAATATACTTGCTTTGAAGCTGTGGACCTTTAACGGTGTACCTACGGTTGAATATTGTAATATTGTGTCGTTGAAAATGTTAAAATTTGTTTGTCCACAACCGCCCCTGCCCCTGCTATAGTGGAATCCCTGTGTGTATAGAAGTCATATCCCGACGACGGTAAAATGCTTGTGAAATGTCCTAAAAGTTAGTCCGTAAATTCTACAACTTGTGGTATTACACACAAACTTTAGTCGCGCGACTCAGATAAAAATTCTATTGTCGGCAACAAGTATATTTTCCATAGAATAGCGCGTTGAATGTACCGGCTAAGACCAACAATGATTTATGAACAGATAATATTATTTTATAGCTATAGTGTATTTTTTTTTTTTTAGTAAAAAGGTGGCCGAAATGTCAGTAATAATTGTCAACCCTTTTCTACTTCGTTCGCCACCGAAAGTATTCGCTGCAGAAAAATATTCCAAAAAATGCATATTATGTGGAATCTTGAAAGAGATAGGAAAAAAATAGTGTGTGTGTAGTGAAACGGAAAATATTCCAAGTGAGCGCATGAGTTCTTTAGCATTAAGCCCATGCTTGTTGAAAGGCCTGGCGCCGAGACGGTCGGAGAACAATTTCTAGAAAACTACTAGATCAAGACGTTAAATGGTTCATTTCGTGCCTTAGAGGACCACATTTTATCTCTACCGGCTCGTTGAAATAAAAAAAAGCCAGTACAGTGAGGTCGGGACATAGTGGTGACGGAGAGATCACAGGTCTGCAGATTTTATTATAACTGAATGTGATAAAATCCATTTTAAATAAACGCTTCGATGCGAATCTGAGGATAGTATGTTCAAACCAGTTATAGCGGTTTAGAAGATATCGTGGGACCAACAATAATGTACTTAAAATTTAATATTTAGTCTTGTGCAGGGTGGATGCGATAAGGGTTGATCGTCTGTCTATAAAAATGTACTGTCATAGTTACCCATGTATACTACATATTTGACTACAGATTTTTGAGAAAATTGTATATGTTATAGTTCCATTTTAGATCTACCTTCGGTCTAATTTTCAAATCTAAATTTTTAAAACTTTGCTTGAAAAAGTGAAATAAATAAAAAAAATTCTATCCCTTCTAAGGGAAAGGGTTTATGATATTTTTTTGGTTTGTTAATGTTTATCGGTAGTACTATGTTTGAAGAACAATTCATATACATTTGGAACATTTTCGACTATTTTTAAAAAAGTTATAGAGCATCGTAATTTTAAGTTGAAAAATTTGTAAATTTTTTGGGTGTTTTTCTCGATTTTGATGGGGAAGGGGTGACTTTTTTCATTTTTGGCCTGATAAAGTACCTTACAGGTATGGTTTCTGATCTACAGAGTTGCTACACGAAGAAATCGGTTCAGCGGTTTACGAGATATCGTAACTAGTATGCTTTGAATAAAAAACAATATACATATATAAACTATTTAATATTAATTTATAAATAATATATCATCCGGCAACCGGCGACGGCACTAAAGGGCGTTATGTAAATTGCATGGATTTGCATTTGGGCCGTTAAAAGCTTATTATAGTAATTGTGTACTGCAATAATATTATAAATTATAAATTACTTCCTAGGATTTGAGAGCTTCCGGTCTTTGATTCGGACACCAGGTCAGTTATATTATACATACATACATACATATGATGGTAATGCCACAAAGCTGCAAAGCTGATTATGTGAGTAGTTTACAGAGATTTTGGTGGGATTAAAAATAAATATTATGATACAGAAATTTATATTTTGTATTTATTTTTTATTCTATTGAATTGTTTTTTTTTCCAATCGCATTAAAAAAGGCAATTTCTGGCAGCTACTGCTTTGGAAAAATTATTGGCATTTTCCGATGATAATTTATCACTTTCGTTTAAACTCAAAAAGCTGGCAAAAAATTACCCATTGAACGCAATTCGAGTGGAATACTCTAAGACTTGACATTGTGTTTGTGGAAATTAATGTAAAATGTTCGGTAAAAATAAACTCTGACTAATTTACCTAGATTGCCTTTGTAATATATTAACCACCATAATAACCATGTGAGTCACGCAACAAATGTAAACGTTCTATTTGCTGTGAATGCCGTTTTAAGCTAATCACACGTTTAATGTTATTTCGTTTGCAGATGATGAAAGGCTGGTACGTTTGGCACAGCTTCGGTTTTCGAATTTTGGTGGTATCTTTTACGTTCCAAACGACGATTTCGCGTAAGTACCGGTGTAATTAATATTTTAAATTAGACAACTGTAAGTTTGTATACATAAAAGCGAAATATGAACTTGGAAACACCCGCAACGTAGCTGAAAATAAAGTTCCCAGAGGAAATTTTGACTACAGCCCCGTTTGATGCTCATCCAGCTAATTCTGTTTGTACGATGATAACTTTTCCAATTTAAACTTTGATGCGAATAATACAATTGGTGGAAAATTAAAAGTTTATTAGCCGTGTAGCTTGTAGTTTCTGTTATTTGAATACAACAAATGTTTCAAGTTCATTTCACGTGGAAAATGGTTTAAACGAAATATTTAACCCTCCTGTGTGGCAGAAAGACAACAACATGTTTATTTGGTAATTTCATTTTCTCGAAACCAACACATTGAACGCGTGGCCCTCTCCTAAAGTGAGCACAGAGTTCTTTAAACGTCCATAAAAGAAAACGTCTGTCCGTCTATCATAAGACTCTATCCAATCCGTGTATACTTTATCTTAAGTAAGAGCTGCAATTATTTATTTATTTTTTTTTTATTACTCTTTACAAGCTACAAAGTTCTGTAACGACTCGACAATATGCAAAATATGCTCCAGTTAGTTATTTTAGTGCATTTATTATCTTTACAATTAAATTATCAGCCTACGGTTAAGCGCCACCGTCACTGTTTGAAAAGGACTTCGGCCAACTTGTTTGTATATGGCCAGTGATCAATTTCGGAACTCAATACAAACACCGTGCATTTTATCTAACATTAGGTCGGTCGCTTTGGAAAGAAAAAAAAAACAATACATTATTCAATAGCCGGGTATTTCAAACACAACGTTCATTTTTCTACTTTGACCGTAACACCAACCCTGTAGTTTAAGCAATACATGTATTATTTATTTCCACTTTACACCTAATGTTTAGCATTTGAGTGGTATACAATAATATTATAAACACAACCAGGTAACAAAATAACATTTCAGTGTGCAGCTAAAAGGTAGAATAAAACTACTGTTGATCAAAAATTTACTTGAGTTTAGAGAATTTATGAAAAATGGAGAAAAACTCCATTAACTAATAACATAAACTAATTAATAGTAGATAAAGAAAAAAATCTTTATCCACTATTAATTAGGGCGCGCTATTTTTGACTTGAAAACTTTAAACACTAAGTTTGATCATTTGTTATAATCGATTTGTTTCTTAAAACCTCAACATTTTATAGAAAAACTACATTAAAGTAAAATTTGTATCAAACAATTTTCATTGAAATACAATAATTATTGTTCTTATGCTACCTAAGATTAGTTACACTAAAAATAAGTCAAACATCATAAAAACTACAGAATTTAAATGTTTCACGATGCAAAAAATTGTAATAAATTAATATACATTTTAAAGGAAACTTATATTTTATTTATGTAGCAGACAATTAATTTAAATAAAAAATATTGAACAAAAAAATTAAGCCACACAAATAAGATAACTGATTAACAGATAAAAATAAATTGTATAAATTATATTTAGTTAAATATCTCGAATATGTATACTTCAGTACTCTGATTTATAAAAGTATTTGATTTGGTTTTACCAAACCGCGACTGACATTATGTGGTTCGTTTCAATAGCCAAAATTATAAATCATCAATGAAAAAAATATGTACTTCAATTTAAAGCATTCACTGAAACATGGGCAATATAAATTAAATTCTGATTCTGGGGGATGCTAATGCCGCTCTAGCACCCCCCTAGTTGTGCCGGAAATGTACATACATTTTTTTTTATTTCACGATATCCCAATGATATATTAATCAAATAGTCAATTATGGATAGCGGCTAAATATTGTCAGCGGTGCCCGAAAAGTTAACCGTGTGTAAAAAGCGAATTCATTAACCTCATTTAAATAAGCGAATGATTAATGGTGTATAGAAATTTTGTCGGTGAATTCGTTGCACAAAGAAAATTGCACGGATCCGAAAAAGTGTATGCGGTTTTGCAGACGGCAAGTTCTATAGTGTTATTAATACAATGATAATATTTTATCGCTTTAACAGTGCGGTTAGGTTCGTTAAACACCATCATTTGTCAAGCCGACGCTTGCCAGAAAGTTACCAAAGAACCGTCTTAGACTGATACGTCAGGCAGCATGATGTTTGAAGGGGCGTTTTTACAAAAAAAAAATCTTTAATTCTGGATACGTTTATTTAGCTAAAAAAATGCCCGTTCGCATTCCCAACCGGGTCTGGCAGTGTAATAAAGTGTAAAGTACTTAATAAATTATTGTAAAGCAATAAAATCGCCTTGTCGAGAATGGCCCCTTCAAGTCGAATGTACGTCGGTTGCGTTATAAAACAATATAAATCCGAAGGTTGTTTCATTGGAACGGCCAACCAAGCGGGGTAGGTGCTCCTTAAACGGGAAAGCTAAAGAAAATAGATTAAGACACAATCTTATAAGCAGCCAGACTATTTCGACATCAAGTATATATATAATAATGTTTACCGTTAAAACGATGGTCCATATTGTCATAATACTGACTGTATTATAAAAAATATTAACATTTAAAAAGCCCAGTGATTAAATTAGTATGGTGAAAACATGAAGGAAGTTTACAAATCCAATTGGGGGTTGGTTTTTTTTTAAATATAAAATTAGGTTTACAGCTGTTGTCTGAACGAATGTTGAATTATTATCCTTGGCGATTGCTGAAAAACGAGAAACCATTTTTATTTGTCCATTTAGTTTTACATATCGAGCAGACTGATTCTATTTGGTTTGGAAATGTCCATTTAAAACCATTCCACGTCAATTCGTACGGCTCTTTAATGCGGCTGCTTTGTGTTTTATGAGGATATTTTTTCCTCTAAAGTCGGTATTTTTTTTTTTGTTGAAAATAAATACCCTTATTTGTGTAATATATTATTATCGATTGCTGCCTGCATTGCACGGTTTTTGGAGCTATATACACTTTTACTGTATTTACAACATAAATGGAAATTATGTAAAACTCTCGCAATCAGTATTCTAAAAAAAAAAAAAAATTACTACTAAAAAATGAATGCCTATAATCCTTCATTATATCTTTATGTTAACGTTGAACAAATGAACGTTTTAAAAAATATTGTTCCACCACTAAACCAATATTAAAGAAAAACCTTAAGGAGTTCAGTTGGCTGTAGAGTAGTGGTGGAATTATAAATAATGAAATAGTATATTAACAAGCTAATATCCTAGGTGGCTAGTAAACATATCAAGTTTCTGGATTATATTTCAGTGTTTTCATAGTATCTGGCCTTAAACAATTCATAGGAAATATGACCTGTTAAATTACGTTGAATTTATTTTTCAGTTAAGTTGTTTTAGTAGTGAATACAATCTCTTATCAGATAACAGCGTAACGCTTTTTTCGATTATGTGCCAGAGCTAATTCCCTTCTAATCTCTTATCTCTTATCACTAATCTCTTATCAGATAACAGCGTGACAAGTTTGTCATGACAAGTATTACGGTTATGTACCAGAGTACTAGTATTTTACTGTTCAATCCTACCCCTATCTTTTACCCCCCATCTCCTAATCTCTAATCTCTAACCCCTATCCCCTACCCCTATCTCCTATCTCTTATCTCTAATCTCTCATTTCTTATCTATAATCTTTTATCTCTCATCAGATAACAGCGTAAAAAGTGTTTCGTGACAAGTTTTTCGGTTATGTGCCAGAGCTAAGACATGCAAATGTCAAAAATAAGTTTAAAATTTCATACACTACTTGCATAAATATTTTGCTGTTTATAAACTATCAGTTTAAAATACTATTATATTAATCACTATTTACATTATAACAAACATTTTTACAGATTATACTGTACTATATAAAAAACGAATTGATAAATAAATGGACATCATATATATATATATCTTCTTTATATATAAATTTCTTCTGTCCGTGTGTAGTGAGTATGCAAACTCCTCCTAAACGGCTGGACGGATATTTATGAAATTTTTGTGTGCGCGATTAAGTTGATTCGAGAAAGGTTTAGATTCACAATTTGATCCGATAGAACATGTTTTTAATTAATTTAAATTATTAATTATCAATAGTATCAATAGTTATCAATACATCTCTATGGTTTTTCATACCACGCAGAGATACAGTGATCCAATACAGCTTGTGAGTTTCATAACGACTCATAGAAAGTTTATTACCGCCAGTCCCGCTGTAGCACAAATTGTTTTCATTCTATACAGGGCAGAAAGCAAGACTTGTGACTAGTTCAGCGAATAACACTGTGATGGACGGTTAATTGTTAATAATAATATTATTTCCATATGGAAAGCACCATAACAGTGTTACTAGGCAGCCCAAGTGTCTGGTCTTGACGCTGTCGAGGTTCTATACCGACATGTTGTTTTGTGGAAATTAGTAAAAATAAAACCCTGTACAATTTTCTCGTTTAAAATTGCCACAAAACGTACAACAGCCAGCCGGAGAAGATGTTTTTTTATTGGACTGACACTATGAAAATGTGTAATTTAAAAATAATTCCCATACCGTTTTCCCTTTACTTTGTACGGTTTCGGGTACTTGTCAATTATTATTATTATTATTATTTGGTGAGCCGACGAAACTTAATTATCCGGTTTTGTTTGTTTCGAGCGGTTCGACCGGATCTTTTAAGGTTGTTTACTCAGCGAGTATATATGTAAACCACACAAACCATGAAGAGTTTGTATTATAATTATTACTGTAGAAAAGCGCCCTACACTGATCGCACAGCAAACTCAATTAATCCTAATCAATAGATTTGAATAAAAAAAAAAAACTCAACATTAAAAAATAATCAATTGCAATTACTATGAAAAAACAAATGCCCGACTTACACACAAACGGTTAAGAATAAAACGAATGTGAAGAATTTTCCCATTTAAAAAAAAACTAACCAGCCTTCGCAATAGGCGAGGGAGGGGTTTTGTGTAGTTTTTTTTTCTGATTTCCACGTCCAAAATGATT